GTGTGTGTGTGTGTGTGTGTGTGTGTGTGTGTGTGTGTGTGTGTGTGTCAGCGGTTTGCAGGAACAGTGTCTGGGATTCAGGGATTTGGGAAGTTTTCGGTTTCTAACTACAAGAGAAGTTTGTATGGTCCTGGGTGGGGCAGCAACCACCCATTATTCATGTTCAAACCTGTTCTTCGACGGGCCTTGGAAAGCTTCTTAGCTGTTGTTCTAAAAAAGACAAAGGTGCTGTTCCTGAATCACAGATTACATCGTGATAAACACATAAAGCTGCAGATTCCTGAGCATCATAGTTTTTACAGAAGTGTTTTAACCATCACAAGGTTTAGTGTGTTTGGATCCCTTTCTTTTGTGAACATTATAGTGAAAGTGCAGTGAAAAATGAAAGGTAAATGGTACTGAACTTATAGAGCGCTTTTCAAGTCCCTCTGGACCCCAAAGCGCTTTACACTAACAGACATTCACCCATTCACACTCACATTCACACACTGATGATGGCAAACTACACTGTAGCCACAGCTGCCCTGGGGCACACTGACAGAAGCGAGGCTGCCAGGCACCGGCGCCACCAGATCCTCTGACCACCATGAGTAGGCAAGTTGGGTGAAGTGTCTTGCCCAAGGACACAACGACTGAGACGGCTGGACGGGGGACCGAACCAGCGACCTTCCAGTTCTAGGACGACTCCACTAACCACTCCGACACAGCCACATCCGCCCCAATGGTGTTAAATACCTTTTTTTTTTTAAATATGTATGCCCAGTGGTTAATTCTGTTAAAGAGAAACCACTGAAGCAACACGTGCCTGGAACAAAGCCTGCTGGGACTTGTTGGACAAGCTGGACTGCATGGACGATCATACCCTCTGCTGTCAGGATTCAGGCATTAAAAACAGAATAAGTTCCTCTCATCTTGTGTTTATGCAGGCCGGCATTCCCTACTATGTGGGAACAAAAAGACCTACTTGTGGGGACCAACTGCTACTTATGGGCACATCACCATGAGGAGAAACACCATCATTATGAATTAAGTTTAGGTTAGGGTTCAGGGTTCAGCTATAGAAATAAAAGGAAGTCAATGCGTCCTCATAAAGATAGCAGTATTACATTATTAGTATTTGTGTAGATTAACCAAAGTAACTAAACTGAAAATTATCATGCTCCAAAAAAGTTGCTGCTCATTTTGTCTTTAAAACTTTTTTTGTTTGTTTTTTCCTGAAGTGAAACTAAAACAAACACTTGCATATAAGATTAAGGTCCTCAAAATAAAACTGGACACAAAAATGTTCGGGTATTTATTCTTGTTAAAAGATAAATTTAGATGTTGCCAATATCAGCAGGTAGATCTTTATGACTTTCTTGTGTATCATCCATGTTTGTTTCTGCTCCTCAGTAAGTTTTACAGTTTGAATTGCAAATATTTTTGCTTTACAACAGTGACATCTGCTGGCAAAATGTTTGTGGTGCAGCCATTTCTGCTGTCATAAGAACCTGCAAAAGAACTGAAACGTAAGCACCTTTTTATTAGAGATTCCAGTTTAATGCAAAACCTGTATTTTAGGGGACAATGTTTTTTTTAACTTTAAGATCAAAATCATGAGTTGGCCAGATGAAGAGGAGACATCACTCTTCAGCCACAGCTTCTCCCTCCTCCTCTTCTTCCTGCTCCTGCTCCTTCTTCTCTGCAGCAGATGACTCTTCAGTCGGTGCATCCTGCTGCTCCTCCTCCTTCACCTCGGCCTTCTTCACCATCGTTTCACTTTTGGTGACCGAGGTGATCTTCACTGCCCCTCCTTCCAGAGCTGAGATGGAACCAGAGGTGTAAGATGGGATGCGGGAACTCTCCAGGCCAAAGGCATTAAAGTTGAAAGCTACAAAATAAAAGAAAGTTGTGAGTGAAACATTTTTTTTTTTTGTATTTTAGGAAGTATGTGTCAACAAGCAGCTGATGGGGACCTTTACTCAAAAAAAAAAAGAATTACACAGGGAACAATGTATAAAAACAATAAAGGTTTTGATAAAAGTTTCACACTTTAGGATGGACTCACAAGTCTGCTTCGTCACGTTGGTCTTTATTCCTGTTGCTAACCTGCATTAGAGGAAAAACAAAAACATCATAAAGGCCTTGAAGGAATTCATGTCCAGCACCACGCTTAATGCCAGAGATTTCAATTAAAGCCATCTTATATCAAAGATTCATCTCAAGCTGTTGAATTGATTGAGTTAATGAGTTTGTTGTGGCAGCCATCTTGAACTGAGTTGTTTTCCAGTTGTCTTTTACTGTCTGAGTTTTATTAAGATCAGTCTACTGTTTTATAAGACCATTTGCTAACCCTACAGGTAAGCAAACCTTTCTGCTTTTAGAAACAGGTGATAAAAATTAATAATTTTCATTATATGTTGCTCTGATGGACGCAGCATGAAATTCTGCCACGAACAGCGATTCAACTGCTTTTCCAACACTTTACCTGATCTCCTCTCCCTCTAGAAGTTTTTTATATGTAGCGATTTCAATGTCCAGAGCCAGCTTCACATTCATCAGTTCTTGGTACTGGCGGACCTGCAGGGCCATGTCCTGTTTGGCCCTCTGCAGAGCTTCCTCCAGGTCTCGGAGGCGGAGCTTGGCATCCTTCACGGCCAGCTCTCCTCGCTCCTCGGCCTCTGCGATCTGAGCCTCCAGGCTGTTTCTCTGAAGGCAGAAAGAGGCGCAGGATAAAAACAGGTTTAGTTTGTAGCAGGTTCCTCAGGTTCGGGAGCTGCCAATCAAATGAAAATCTACTGCACAGCAAAAAAAAAAATGTCAGAGTAAAGCAGACAGCTTGAACCCTCACCTGCACTTTAACCATTTCAATTTCAGACTGAAGCCTCATGATCCTGCGGTTCATGTCAGCAATCTCAGCTCTGGTTGACTTTAGGTCGTCGTCATATCTTCCTGCTGACTTCTGCATCTCTGCATACTGCAACATAATAACATAATGTGATGAACCTGCTGCGGTACATTTAGCTGGGTTCACATTCTACATTGTGTTTTGGCATATGTTCAGATGGACGTGTTACACAGCAGCATACACCAATGAACACCTTCTCTGAGTTTGTGCCTTTGAGAAAACGGTAATACAAGTAAATAAAGCTAAAATTAGGCCCAAACTGGACAATTTAGTTCAAAAGCGTAGCAAATGTGGCACACACCATCTGCCACAAGCACTGAGGAAAGAATCTGTCTGCAGTTCAGTCCACCTTTTCATCTTTATAAATGATCCTAATCAATTTAGCTGGATTTGTAATGAGAAACAGTATGTTTGGCTTTCAGAACAGGTGTTGTAGCTCAGCAACCGCATAGGACAAATTTCTTTATATATATTACTTGCTAATTATCCTTCAAAACTTTCTAAATCTGTCTGAACAGAATTTTATTCTAAAATGTAAGAGAACTTAAGCTGGTCGGCTGTAAGTTTAACATCACAGCAATAGTTTGAATAATTTGAAGTGGGGGGGTTTTGTGGAAAGGTCTTGAACATTTAATATTAGATAGATTTTTGGAATCCCAACTGAAGATTTCGCAAGAGTTTTTATTGTAGTGTGTGTGTGTGTGTGTGTGTGTGTGTGTGTGTGTGTGTGTGTGTGTGTGTGTGTGTGTG